CTACTTGTTCACATGGATGTGTGAGTCAAGTAAACGGACTAAGGGATCGAGTACACATTCTTGTGCACTGATTAAGTCCACCACAAAAGATCGATAAGACTATTCGTCATGATTTACTAAAGTTTAGTAAATATGGTTATACTTACAGGCTTAAGTATAATTCTGAAGCATTGGAAAAAATTTCAGTGTATGGCGGAACGAATGAGAAGAATCAAATTAGGCAGAAGGATAAAAGTTTCTCAAATCTGAAAAGATGGGAGAGTACTTTAGTATCATGTTATATAATCATCTTAATGATTAAGAGACCTTATCACAATTCATCCTCTAAGTGCATTCTGGTAGCTAAGAAGAGAGTTATGAATTGTTGAAGTGGTTAAATCAAGAAGATGAGTCATATTCATTCCAAAACAATTCTTAGAGTCATACTCCAAGATTGTAACTTGAGTGACATGTCTTAAAGAAGGTTTAAAAACACTTGTCAAATGTAAGAGTAAAAGGTTTCTACTCTTGTACATTTGAAATTGGTAAGTTGTGATGTTTTGGATAAAACAAAGACCAACTAAGGCCAATTGTGTGAAGTGTTTGTCTTGATTAGAATCCACACTATCTCTTGAATATTTGACAAGAGAGTCTTATATGTCAAGAGGACAGTGGGAGTCTTAAAAGGTCTTGAAAGTCTCAAGAACTAATCAAGAATCAAAACTTGAGGTTCTTCACTAGCACACGACTTGAGGTTTATAACCTATCGTGTTGACATATTCTGTGCCCATTCCAGTTAAAGTTGTCTTTGCATAGGAGTTCTGGAAGTTCTCAATTGGTTGCATAACAACTTGGAAGCAATGGCAGGCCCTATACTGCCAGGTGGCAAGAAGTGAAGATTGCACAAGTTCAATCCATATCAGTTTGGATTTGTCACTAACCTTGTCTTGTGACTATGGTTTTGACAATTCACATGGATAAGAACACATACACCATTAAATCTAAGTGTCATAAGGTTTCTCTCCGATTCATGAAAATGATGGTGTGGAAACACTTTCACTAAGTAGATTTTAGCTAGATAGCAATTGTGATATTTGCATTCTCAAAGTCGTTAGTGGAGCATGTGTGGTTAACCGGCACACTAACATGGACTTGTGAGAAGTGGCAAAGGTCTAAACAATTGAGACTATGATTACGGCATCCCTTTTCATAGTTCTTAAAATTTTTTAGACACACAAGTGTGCTATCTAAGGGCAAGGTGTATGATTTTGATAAAGTTTTATCAAAGCAATCTAGTATCAGAAATCTGAACTTTGGTAAGAAAGTCAATAAAGTATTGTTTTTCTAGAAGTTCAGCTGATTTCTGAGTACATGTCAAAGCTAGTGGGAGCATAAGTGTTATGCTAATAATCATCGTGTTAGTGGGAGCATGATAATTATGATAAAGGTTGCAAGTTAGCAATGTTAATTATAGAAAACAAAAGGTTTCAATTGGGAAAAAGTTGTTTTGCTATAATTAAGGGAGAGGAAATTATACTTCATCTCAAATCTAAAAGTTTAGATTGAGGTTTTAAATCGTATTTAGTCAAGGATATATATATATATGAATTTCATGTTGGAATGGCTCAACATAAGGAAATTCTATATATGGGTCCATTATTTGCGTTCTAAAATTCGATTATGATTACGGCATCCCTTTTCATAATCTGAATTATGAGAACTTGGCAAATTGAAATGGAAATATTATAGCAAAAGACTGGTTTAGTCTTTATGTGAGACATCATGAATCGTGTCCCATATGCTTCGGATATAGGATCGATTACATGTGCTATATTCATCCTTTCTAAAATTTTCCAAATGTCTGGGGCATTAAGAAGGGAAAAGGTCTAGAACTGGATATGACTAAAAGGATTAAGCAATTGTCGAGGACAATCTAAGGTTTACCAAAGATTGGTTGCTCAAGGACAGTTGGAAGTATAGTGTTAATTCTGGAAGGACCATATTGACATAATCTGTAAGGAGGCAACTCTTGTTCAGAAGTGATAGTCAAAATGGAATATGGAAATGTTTCAAAGTTAGAAATTATTCAATCTGTGTAAGATTAGGAAACTTAATGCAAGAAGGATGTTTCCAAGGAGTTGATCTCCTTGGAATGCTCTGTAATGTTTGTTGTCAAGTCCTTGTGACTTTGTGCATAATCATTACAAGAGGATCAATGCATATAAGTTTAGAATCTAACAGATTTCAGTAAATGGCATGAATTTGGAATTCTTGCATTTGCAGTAAGGATTTGGGACTGTGAAAAGAGAATCATTGAAGTTATGTTCAATTGATCTATTTCACAAAGTAAAGATCATAGACAAACATAGTATGCATACTTGGTGTATGACTAGTGTTTAGAAAACATAGTGTACATGCTTGGAGCATGGGACAACTATTGTTTTAATTCAAGTATAAAGTTGATAGTTTGAAACAGTATACAATGAATAATGTGTAATCATATGGTGATAAATAAAAGGTGTTTTATTTATATTCATAAGTTCTGAGACCATATTGGATTCGATTATTATTGTGTTTCACTTTGCATGTTTTGACTTCCAGAATAACTAGGTCATTCTTCCTGATGATTAAGTTATTCAAACCATCCACAGTCGGTCATATGTTGGAAGTAGATATGAATCAAGACTGTCATGGGTGGGCTTGTAGAGGTCTAAGATGTGGGACAAGGTGGTGCTACAACACTCATGAGTGCTCATAAGTTCTGAGTATTGGATTCAACCCGCGCTCATTGGAATCACTTCATGGATTTTATCACGAGTGATCATGAGACGATAATATCTTATATTCTTCAAACCTAGAGATATGAGTTGTTACTATGAGTTGGTTATACATTGATTGCACGAAAACGCATTGGTAACTCGATGTTATAAAACGTGCCTTTGTGTATGATTCAACAAGTAGTAGACAAAGCCATATGAGTCGAAGTTTATCCATTCCTTTTACCTTTGGGATAAAAGCGATATCTGTGGGCCCCTCGATGATTTGGTGATGACAAATGTAAGTGCTCGGCCGGGCCTGGACTGATTTGATTTGTTCAATTAGTCAGTCGTCATAAATCGCAAATCGGGAAAGGGAAACAACAAATGGACAGAGAGAATGATTATAATCCATGTCTCAGTCCATATGATATCTAGAATGGAGGAATATATGATCCCTTATCTAATGGACAAGTCATTGACAAAGGTCAGAGATCATCGGCAAGGTCAGAGTTCGACAGAAGCTTTTGAGAGCTACGATTGCCAGTCGGTTTGAAGTCGTATGCAATAATAGTTTTAGACTTATCCAAGTGGGAGACTGTTGGATTAATGTCTAAGTCCATAACTATAATTGGTAAGACTTGACCCGACCCGGCATGGTCATTTGGGTTGCATGGCATCATGCATTTGGATAGACTAAAATGAGAGAAAAACACTTAAGGTTTATTAATATATTATAAGTTCTAATATATTAATAAGGTTATTTAATTAGTATTGATCAAGAATTAATTAAGTGATCAAAAGGAGACTAATTAAATATATGGGTTGATTGTGTAAATCATTCATTCTTTTATATGTGGGCTTGTGATCCAAGATTCCTTATGTTGGACTAAGTCCATGGGGTGACCCATGGATACTCCATGGAGGTTAAAATCCATGGAGCATAAGGAATGGGTAAAGTTATGAGTTACATGGTGTAACCCTAATAGCCACCATATAAAAGAATCCCATGGCTCAAGAAATCGGCGACTATGTGTGAGAGGAATAAGGGCTAGCCGATTTTATGAAGTGTTCCAATTTCTCTCAGTCATTCATGTGCATTGATGTTGTGTGAACCATTGAGGTGTCACACTTGGGGCACTAGGCACTCAAGCTTCATGAATACATTCTATATCAAAGAGGTATGTAATTCTAACTGAGATATTCATTTTTTTGAATCAGTGTTATTATGCTAGTTAGGATGAATACCTTGGAAAGTTCATATTTGCATGTATAATAGAGAAAACATAGATCCAAGCTATTTAGGGTTGCATGTACCTTAGGAGTGTTAGAATGCTCAAAACCCAACAATAACCATAAATTTGAAATTGCCATTCGGAAAGCTTTATATGAAATGGTTTTTGTTAACTTATGCAGGATACTATCTTAAAAAAATGTGGTCTAATCTTGGAGTTGGTGATATTTTTATGGGGCTTTCACTGTGGAAAGGTATGAATGTCTACTACATTTTTTCTTTGTTTTCCTATCCCGATTCTTAGTTTAAGGGAGTTGTTTATCCCATTTTGTTTGATGTTGTCATTAAATGTTTCAGCACGTTAATGCAATCTGTCCCTATCTTATAAAAATCATACAAGGCCATCAGATTGTCCAAAAATCATGAAGTCTAGTTTTCTGGAAAGGTTAGTGTATCTAGTTTCACTGAACTTCGGACCACTTTTCCTAATTCCAATTCCTTTAAGGGTATAAGTACCAATCTTTGCAGACTGGTCCATGCAGCCTACTGTTTGCATCAATCAACTTCGAAAATTCATAATAAATTCATAAAGACTCCAAATGCCATGAGGTAAAGTCCTATAATCAGGTATGGAAGTCTATTTTAATCGTTACCAAGGGCTTAACTTAATTCAAAGCACAAAAGTGCAGTTTAATACAAGATTGCAGACTAGCCCAAAAATTCACAAATTTCATGTGCTAACTTATTCATTTGCACAAGTAATTCTACAAAACATAATTTATGTAACAGTGAAAATGACCCAACATTCCATTTGAAGTGTTTGCAGATCTTGAAGCGAGTAAATATCAAGTGAGTTTTGAAATCCATGATATATATATACATATTCCTTTACCTGTTTTTGACTGGAAACATCCCTGCAGATTTGGTCAACTCTTATTTAAAACAACATGCTCCCAAAATGCAGGCTATGCATTTGGAATTGATGCTTTCAATAAATGAAAATGGGATCTTAGGGGAATCTTCAAAATGAAATGGTATGTTACTCTTTTATAATTTCAACATCTACTCACCCCACAACATAAGAGATAACTTGTTTACTTATCACTTGTATCATCAGGGACGCCAGTCACAGCAGTTCGGTGTACCTGGTATTCCACCTCATGCTAGACCACCACATTTTGGTCCAAGCGAAAGTATATCTTTTTTTTGATTGGATTATTTCATTTTAAATGTATCAGATGCTGATTTTTTAAACCTTTTTAGGGCTTTATGGGGAACAGAAAGTGAACTTACAGCTGAAATCGAGTGTCTTAAATCAGAAGTTGTGAAAGCAGAAAAAGCCTTGGATCATGCTACTCCGGAAGTATGTTAGTACTTAATATATTTGTACTTATCATTATTGAATGTATCTTTGCTTCTAGAAGATTTGAATGTTGTCATATTCATGAAGGTTTAAATGTAAGCTTATATTATTATTTTTATCTTACACATAACAGGATATAAGGAGGGGAATTAGTACAGTTAGAAGAACCTGCAGAGAGTACAGCATTACTGGAGTGTTTGGTTCACTTTATCGAGTTGCTTGAATGTGATGAAAATTTATTCACATCTGTTGAAGTTACGTACTGCTGGAAACAGGTTTTCACAAAGTCTTTTGACACTTGTCTTTCTAAAATTTCTTGCTTATATATAAACTTGTATTTTTTTTCTATGCAACTTATTTCATGTGGTGGTCGAAAATGATGACATTTCAACACAAGTAATTTGACACCTTAATTAAGAGAAAGGTGGTAGAGTTACATTTATACCGCTTAATCGTGTCAAAGCTCCGCATGTCACTTATCCAAAAACTTCTGATGTGATTCCTTTTCTCAAGAAATTAAAATATTCTCCTAATTATGAGCAGGAATTCTCTCAAGTTAGCAGTTTGCGATGTTTCCTTTTCTGTTTTTCATGATATGATAATAATATTAGACAATATCAAGTTTTTTTTCCAGGCGTTTGCTAGAACAGTAATTTGTAGAGAATTGGATGTTGCAACTCGTGTTGCACGTACAGATGGTTTGGACTGCATTACTATTGAAGGTTTTGTTTTATCCTTCTTCTTTTTTTCTTTTCTTTTTTCATATGTTAATTTTTATTAATTTTTTTAATTTGTTACAGGTGATCAAGTTGGCAAAAAGGGTGGTAAACATGACAAACCAACCACATGTGTACCCGGAGCAGCAACTGAACCAATATGCACCATCTTTGGGTGGTGTGTTGGTGGACAAGAAAGGCGATCAGACAGAAGAAGCTCTTAATAAATGTATATTCACTTACATAAGGCATGTTTATTCATTTGATGTCTTTGATTATTTTAATCTATGCTTGAAATGTTTTACTGAGACTAAAATAATGCACTTTCAGTAATGAAAAGTAGGTCAAGGCAGGGTTATCTACTACAATGCAACTAAAGCGGTAACCGTTTATTTTATTCTTTTCTCACTCTTTATTCTCTTTTTCTTTTCATTCTCATATGTTTTGTCTGAATTTTGAGAACCTAAATTCCATTTTGTAGGATCTGTTTGAGAAGAAGAAGTTTTGGTTAACCCAAAACAAAACATCTTGAAGTAAGGTACTGATTTGGTCAAGAACTAACTTAAAGTAAGGTAGTGATTTGGCTTTATCTTTTTATATCACATCTCCATCACATGAATCTTTCTTGTGACTTGATGCATCATTTGCAGGTGCAGAAAATACCACTTACTAATGTGTTGATGATGAAAATAGGTATCATGTGGAAATAGAAGCATAACAATAAGAAGTAGAAACAAGAAGGTGTTCCTTAATAGCAATGTAGTATTAGGTTATATAGTTAAGGAAAACCTCTTAATAACAATGTACAATCAGATCCCCTTATTACCAATGTATTACAGTTTTTTGATATGATGTTATTGGATGAAGTTGATTGTTTTGGTATATATTTGTATGTATTTTTGTGTTATGCGTAAATGAGTATCGTAAAAAAGACGCGTCATAAATGTATATCGTAAATGCTTGCTGAAGTTTATGACACGCAAATGCGTGTCATCTTCATTTATGACAGGGGCTTTAATGATACGCAATGCGTATCATAAACGTGCGTCGTAAGGTTACGACACGTAAATGCGTGTCTTCTTCCTTTATGACAGGGTCTTCCTTGACATCCAATGCGTGTCGTAAACGCGCGTCATAAATGTGTGTCGTAATTGCGCATCGTAAATAGACGACGCGCAAAAGCGTGTTGTCTCTTGTTATGACAGGGCCTTCCTTGACACGTGTTTGCACGTCGTCTGAGCGTTTTACGACACACATTGCGCGTCGTAAAATGATGTTTTTCTGGTAGTAAATCAAAAGTCTCGGGAGCATCGCAAAACTTCTAGCTAAGTGCACGAGATACAAATGATCGGGTAGCCCCCGAATAAAACAGAACATGAGCAGTCAAACCATTGACGAAAAAGGTCCCTATACAAGATCAAAATAATCATAAGCATAAACAACGAAGGAAATAAGAGATAAAGATAAGACACATACGAGTATCCACATCCGACGTTGCATTGGCCTCATCGGTCGTCAGCTGAAATGCTCTGCTCTTCACCACAGGAGCCTTCGCCTTGACCTGGCGGTCATCAGTAATCCTCAAGGTGGTTGGCGCAGGCGCCGCCACTACTCCCCCGGAAAATCTCGGACAATCGGCCTTTTTATGGTTGGTCTGATTGCAATGGAAGAAAATCATAGCCGTCTTGGGGAAATCTCTGCTCACGTGGCCTGACTGGCGACAACTAAAACAACCTGAACCCGCTACTCAGCAATCCCCACTGTGGGGCTTGCCGCAACAGCCCGACCCTTTTGGCCTCTAGTGTGAGCATCGGAGGTCTTGGGTCTCTTAGCCTTGCGCAACGTTGTCTGTAACTACTCCAGCTTCCGCTTCGATCGGAGCTCCAACTCAATCTCCTGCTCGTGGGCCTTCTCGATCATATCATTCAGGGTATCATATCATGATATCTCGTCTTCCTCATCTCCTCATCCGCAGCATACTATGGGACCAACAAAGCTCTCTCCCTGAATTTGGCAATAATCCCCGCCACGGTCTCAATAGTCTGGCGATGTTCTGGGAACTCCCTCGCTAGCGGTTGCACCTCAATAGTTGGTGCAAACTCGCTTAGGAATCTCAGAACAAAATCCTGCTAAGTCATCACTACCACCGTCGTTGACCCTATAGCTAGGGTAACCTCCTCCCACCAGTCTCGTACTCTGTGCTTCAGTAGGCAGGATGCAAATCCCAGCTTTGCCCCCTCATCGATCCAACGACGGATAGCGATGGGGTCCTTAACCCCAAAGAACTCAGGAGCTCCACAAGTCTTGAACTCCCGAAATGAGGGAGATCGAGCTCCAACCTAGCCCGTAACAATCTCGGCTCGAAAATACCTGAGCGTCTCATCCATCGACTCCACAATCCCCTCCTTGATGGTACCGAACAACACAAGGGTAGCATCCAAGATACCACAAGTAACCTTAGTCGAAACAAACTCGCATAGACGCTCATCAATTGGCTCAACACCTGAACCCGAGCCTGAACCAGAACGCGAACCTGAACCTCCTTGAGTAATCATCACCATCCTCCAAACTTAAACACAACATATAAAAAAACAGCAAAGGACTCGATGGAATTCCTCTACACAGGCATCCTTAGAGTTTCCAGGTCTGCACTCGTCTCAAGTACAAGTCATGTGCTTCTAGTAGTATGGGATCAATACTACCTTTCACACCTACCTGTACCTTCCTCAAGCTCAGTCATGATTCCTCTAAGTCACCCACTAAAACCATAAACTAATCCTATGCTATACATCATACATATCCTAGACTCTCCTAGGAATTCTCAACTCCCACCACTCGTAATACCAAGAATGTCAATCAACACCATTAGTTGCCCTTTCCATGCAAGTTATACACAAAATAGGATCACATAGACTGTCAAATGATGATTATACCCTAAGTTGACAACCAAACAAGGAACATGAAATTAGGCCAATCGATCATTCTAGGGTTATACAATCTTAATCGTATAAAACTTTGAAAGCATACACTTAACAATTAACTGAGCCGATATGTATTCCAAGTAATACATAGCATCAAGTTCCACTAGGCTATAAGGAATCAAGCAAATCAGGAAATTCTATCGTATGATTCCTGAAGGTATCCTTAGCCCTAATATAGCATGTAATTCTCATATAAAGCATACTAATCATATTACATAGGTATGGGTAATTTAGGAACCACTTACTTGAGCTTGGCTAATCGCACCCCTTCTTCTTAATAGAAATCCTTTTAAAAGTTTAACCTCATTTTTATTAAGAACACTATCATTTCCTCAGTTTGAGTTCTGACACACCCGAAAGTATGCATGAGTGCCTAAAACCAAGGCTCTAATACCAACTTGTAACGAACCAAAAACAGTACTAAAATTTTTCATTTAAAAACTATTAATTTCATTCATTGATCGTACAAAAAACCATCAATCATTATAGTATTCAAAACATCATAATACAAATATATCGAGTGCGGAAATCATAAGGGGAGGATGTTGTGCCATCATGTTGGGCCCTTCCTTTTTGAAATGGAAGTACCTTAAACCATAAACATAAACTATAAGCATAAACTTAGTGAGTTCCCCCAAAGTATCACATACCACACATAAAAGAAGATAAATAATATGGGCCAAATCATAGTCATATAATCATTTCCTTCCATGGGCCAAACCATGGCCTTTCCCTTTAGTGTCGAGGCCAAATCCCGGTCTTGCATACAAGTGCCAGGGGTCAGATCCTGGACTTTCATATAACTGTTAGGGGCTATATCCTGGTCTTTCATACAAATTCCAGGGGCCAGATCCTGGTCTATCATATAATTATCACAAGGCATCAAGCATTCTATACAACAAAGCAATGAGCCGGCATTGGTTCCTTCTACCCATGGATCAAGTGAAGAAACTCACCTCAACTGTTGAAAAAACCAGATAAATGCTCAGGCTACTGGACCGAAAAAATCCCCGCTTTGACTAAAACATAAATCCCCGATTAATATGGGACATAACCCACAACTGAAACTCTACTTCATCTGTCCAATATCTGAGGTAAAAGGGCCAACTTATCCTTTTCATTTAAGCCCAAACAAAATCCTAGGCTCAATCCCAAAGATCATCCAAAGTCCAATATGAGCCCAAATTCAAAAGTGGCCCAATACCATGAAAATCTATGGTCCAAGCCCAACAAGCAAAGCCTAACGATTCAAGGCCCAAAATAACCAAAAGCTGGACTGGGTCGTACGCCCTACTTACCAACTAGTACGCCCCGCATACTCAACCAATATGGGAACGGATCGCGGTTGAGGAGTAGTGCGCACAGAGTACTGGGAATTACACCTCGCGTGCGCGCCCTATAGCAAAACTCATAATAAGGTCTTAATGCCTTAAGACCTTACGTCCAAATTTCAGATCTAGTCTTAATAAGACCCTTAAGGCCATAAAGTTGCAAAGTTTATGCCTTTGCATGGCTACAAGAAGCCCAACACTAAAAGCCTAACTTACTCAAACCTTTCCTACACCATAACGCTTGCATGGGGACAAACCAAGATCCAAGATTTCATTTTTATGACTTAAAATGCCCTGTAATGTCTAAAAGGATGGCTTAAAGGCTTTGGAGTACCTCATACTGTGACAACCGTCAATTTTGGCCAAGTCAAAGTCAACTAAAGTCAACGAGTCAAACCGATCAACTCATCTAACCCTTGTATACTAGGGTTTCCATTATGTTTCTTATTGAACAACTCGCAATCTTAATACAAAGTATCACTTAGAGTTTTCACGTGTTCGGAAATTCTAAACCCGAATTAGGGCAAGTGATGAAACTACTCGATAAAACATTATTCCTTAACCCTCGGGGGCATATAACAATCATAACGAGACTTAACGAGATTTACAAACCTTGCGTTACGAAGCCAAACACTCAAAAAGGTCACAAAAGAAGTCTCTCCCAATCTCTTTCACTCTATCTCTCTCTACCTCAAATCTCTCCCAAATCTCTCTAAGTATGTGAAATCACTCCTAAATCTCTCCAAGTATGTGAAATCTCTCCCAAATCTCTCTCTGAATGAAAAACCTTTCCAAGTATGTGAAATCTCTCCCAAATCTCTCTAAGTATGTGAAATCTCTCCCAAATCTCTCCAAGTATGTGAAATCTCTCCCAAATCTCTCTCTGAATGAGAAATCTCTCCAAGTATGGGA